AACATTAATATTAACTTATCAAATTTAAATTTCTAACACAACTTTTGCTATTAATATGTTTAAACGAACTTTTGTAAAATTTGAAGCTGTCACAAACGAGCCCCAAATAATTCGAGAAATATTATATTAGGATTCTGAACATAGAGCTATGTTCGGAGACTAATAAGATGAGGGCACGGGAAATGTCGGAACCCATTTAGAATTTCAGTAAAAAAAGAAGAAAAAAAAAATTAAAAGGCCTCTTTTGGGGTAAAGGAACATCTCCATCTTTCTCTATTTTATTATGAAGATTTTGCATAATTTCTTTCCTATAGATTTTAACCTTCAACAGTGTGGTATATACATAGCCTCTAAATGTCAATGTTGTTCTAACTTGAAGGATGTTCAACGTCTTTTTTTAGAACCCATATATTTTTCATTTGTTGTTGGAAGAATTCAATATTCCATATAAAAATTCTTTTAGATTAATTTTTTTCTAAATGAGCTTATAAGTAATTGGTTAGCCCTTATTATCAGGACCGCTAAAAACCATATTATTCATATCATTTTATCTCTTCTTTGTGGTTTATTTAGAATGTTAGAAATTAGTCAAAACATCATAACATTAATATGAATCAAATTTCTATCAATTATAATGTTTCTCACACAATTCATTATTTAATCAAGGACAACTTAATTAGTCCTAATTGTTTTAAAGATTTTTCAAAAGCTTTGTCCGGTTTTGGTCTCCATGACTTGGAGCCTCTTGACCCGTACTTCGTTAAGGTGAATTGGTTTGCACCTCAGGTTGGTTGGGTGAAATTCAACACAGATTGTTTGGTTTCTAATATGTATGAGGGCTTTGATGGTATTTTGAGGGATCATGAGGGTAACTTCCTTATTGCTTTTATTGGTCCTCTTAATTATTCCTCCGTAACTCAGACAAAATTATTGGCCCTGAAAGAGAGTTTGATCCTTAGTATTTATCTTAATTACTATGATGTGTGGTTTGAGTTTGGTGCTAAAATGATAATTCAACTATGTTTAAATTTTGATAAAAGCGATATTGCTAATTATCACATTTTCTATTTTTTATGTGAGATTCATCATTTGTTTAATTCTATCAATTGGAGAATATCCTATATGTTCAGGAAAGGCAACTCTTGTGCTGATTTTAATGCTAATTTGGGGTCTCGCTTTAGAATTTCCGAACTTTTTTCATTTGTTGAACTGGATAGTTATCTTAAAAGAATTATCTTCTTATATAGAGTTAGTTTTCCTTACTTAAGATTTTATTAACTTTATGCTTTTGTTGGTATGTTTTTTTGGGTGCTGCTTGTTTTATTTTGCTGTCTCGAGTGCAAGTTTCTTAATCTAGTTTTGCTTTAGTGTGTATTGATGTTTTAGTGTGCGTGCTTATCAAGGTTTAATGAGTTTTTCCTCTTCTTGATGACTATTGGTGGCTTGGTATGTATTTCTTGCAGGGTAACTTTCTTGTCTTGCATTTGATAGCCTTTCGTCTTTTTTTTTCCCCGTTACTTTTTTTTTTTAATGATATTATGGTTTATCTGCTCCGTGATTGTGTGATTCCCTATCTCTATGGTTGGCATTTACGCCTGTGCTAGGCTAGCTTTTTTTTTATTGGCGGGGTTGTTTTACCTTTCTTGTTGTCCTTGGGTGTTTTTTGTTATATTTTTATATTAGTTCGGGTTAGCTCTTTTCTTTCATTGCTTTGTGTGAGTTTTGTGGCCTTCTCTGTGTTTCGTCAATTCGGTGTTGGTGCAAAGCATCTTGCTAATTAAGTTTTTGTTGAGTTCCTCCTTATGTTTTTCGTTGGCCATAATTTGATATCCTTATGACAATTTTTTGCTACCTTTTAGAGGCAAAATATTGACCATGGACCAAAACAAATTCACTCTTTTTGTTTATCCTTGTTGGCTAGCTTCGGGTCTTTCAGTTTGTTCCAGGTTTGATTTTCATTTCATGATTTTCTTTAGTGTGTGTTGAATTTAGCGTGTGGTGGGCATCTCCTTGCCAATCTTTGTACTATTTGTTTTGGATTAATAAAATTTCCTCGGGGATCCATAAAAAAATAGCCTTTAGCATCACACAAAAACATATCATAATTGCTACATTTTTAAATTTGAAAACACCTTTTATTATAACTATTTTTATGACATTGAATTGTTCTAAATATAAATATGAAATTTTGGGTGTCAAACATATGAAAACATAAGAATTGTGTAATATGTATGTAAAATTTTTAATTAAAAAATATTTTTTTTTGCTATTTAATGATGTTATTGATAAGTCATAACTTTTAATGGCAACATAAAGTCGATTGTGCTTTTACCTGAGAAATAATGGTTGCGGGTTTAATTTCCCATCATGAGGTTGTGTGATTCAAATCACACATATTATCTTTTGGGTTCAACTTTATCGAAAAAAAATATTAAATTGATTTATCGAAGTATTTAAAGTAAACAAATGCTTTCCAAAATATATACTTAATATGGGAAGAAAATTGATTCTTTTTCTAAAAAATTGACAAATATATCAAACATTTAAGTACAAAATTTAGTTAACATACATTTGTTAATTTTTTTATGAAAATTAATTTCAAATTTATTAAATTATTTGAGATTAGTATAATATAAAATTTAAATGGTCACTTAATATATTATATTAAATTTTATTTATTTTATTAAGAAAATGTGAGGGTCATGCCCAATTTTATTTAGAGAAAAAAATGAGTTACAAAATGAATAATCAAATTACAAATCATACGACGAACAAATAAAAAGAACAACAACCATAGAAAATATCAACAACATCAAAACAAAACAACTCCAACAATAATAACATCTCGTAAGGAAAAAAAAAATTGTCCACCAGGAACAAAAGCCCAGAACACCAACAACACTTTAATAACAACAAAGCAATGCTCAAACAACACTTTAACAGTAACAAAACGACAGTTAACATAAATCCCCAATAGAAGTTATATAGTTCAACATGAACAGAAAGCCCTGCAAAGAAAACAAACAAACAAGCAACAAAAAAAAATAAAAAAAACTAGAAAAAATACAAAGAGAAAAACAAAAACCAAAGAAGAAAAAAATAGGAAATAAAAAGAAAAAAGAAATCAAACCATCGGAACTCAGAACTTACATGTAGAAAATTATTTAAAATTTATCCAAAAATTTTGAATATATAATATCATATTCAAAACATGATTGGATTTTTATAACGGTTGGAATCCGTTACAGCTCAATACCAAACTCAACAATTTAACCGATCTCTACGAACAACAAAGATCAAAGTGGAACCACCAAAACAAGCTAGAATTGGAAAAATAACAGCAGAGCAGATGATAAATGCCAACAATAGCGAAGAACTCCAAAACATAACAACGACAAGAAAAAACAAACAAAACTCCAACAACAAATTAACAATAATAAAACATCACTCCAAACATCAGAGATCCCCAATGAAAGAAACACAATTGACTGGGAACAAAATGCCTCAAAAAAAAGTATTAAAACTCTATCCTAAATTTTTTAATATAAGAAAAATATATATTCAAAAACATGGTTGAATTTTAATAACAACTAAAGAACATTACAACTCAAAAACCAACCTTAGCAAACCGCGCAAGAACAAAAAAATGCAACGAAGCAAGTCACCATGAAAAACCCAACTAACAAGCTGCAAAACTGTAGACATAAGCAAAACAACTAGCCAACAAAAAATAAAAGTATTAAAATTTCATCCTAAAATTTTGAATAAATAAAAATATATTTAAAAACATGGTTGAATGTTAATAACTGTCGGAGAACGTAACAACTCAAAAACCAACCTCATCAAATAGAGCAATAAAAGAAAAAAACTGCCAATGTAAAGGGCCGGGAAAAAAATAAACTAACAAGTTGTAAAACAATAGAGAGAAACAAACCAACCAGCTAATAGAAAACCGAAACCTCGCAACCAAATCCACAGACACAATTCCAGAAAAATCAACCACCCGATACAAAGAATAGGATCTAAGTCAAAATTTATAAAACTGTTCAATAAAAGCAACAATATAATTCTAAAATTTCCATTTGCTATTCTTATAGAAGATCAATCAATGAATATAAAAGATATTAGAATCAGCAGAAGTGCTTGCTGCTACCTCCTTCCTGCTTGCATCAATTACAAGTCAAAGCTCTCGGTGGCCTTCTGGTAGGCGGGCTCCGAAGTTGGTGCCCAAGTGAGGAGCAATAGCTTTGTGATGTTAGTACCTTGATTTGTTTTCATAGTTCGAGAAAATTGAGATTGTTTTTTTGAGGAGAAGTTAATCATCGGAGAAGGAGAAAGAATATTATAGTCTTTGTATTTTGGAACGTCATAAATGTTAAAAAAAAGAAAATTTTTACCTTTAAACATTAATATTAACTTATCAAATTTAAATTTCTAACACAACTTTTGCTATTAATATGTTTAAACGAACTTTTGTAAAATTTGAAGCTGTCACAAACGAGCCCCAAATAATTCGAGAAATATTATATTAGGATTCTGAACATAGAGCTATGTTCGGAGACTAATAAGATGAGGGCACGGGAAATGTCGGAACCCATTTAGAATTTCAGTAAAAAAATATGTGTTTTTTGTGTTACAGGAATATTTCGTCCGCGTTATTTCTGATTTCGAGAGGTTATTTTATATTTCGTTGTGTTATTTGTGAAAAATGATTTGTTATTCAAGTATTATGTAGTGTTATTTGATTACTTTAAGTTGTTATTGGAATATTATCCCGTGTTACTTGATTTGAGACTGTGTTATTCAAAATATTTCTATATTGTTATTTGGCCTTCAAAGTATTTTATTCGAATATTCTGCGAGATTATTTTATATTCTACGATGTTATTTGTGAAATATCAAATATTATTCGAGTATTATGTGGTGTTATCATAAACTTCACAACTTTGAGTTGAATCATCAGAAGTTATTTTTAAAATTTTAAAAATAGCGGGTCTATAACTACTCATTTTATTGGATCCACCAGCACAACGGGGCAGTTCGGAGGCCGGAAACGGTCGTCTAGCCCATCTTCATCTATGGAGGTCGTGGGCGACCGCTTCCCCGCTCTCCACTCGCCCGCAATCTCCGTTAATTCTAGTGGCTGGAACTCAGACGCAGTTCGGATTACCGAGGTGAAGTCATGGCTGTCATCTCAGTTTGAAGCAGCCGGGAGAGAAGTGCCGGAGTTCGAGTATACCCCCCGAAGTGTCTCCCAGCTTCATGCCCTCGCAACTCTCTCCCAGTCCCGATCACGTGCTGCCTCTATCGTCGCCGCTGATCTCCGCCTCAAAGCTGCGGAGTACCGCGCTCAGGCCGCACGGATTCGCGAGGTCCTCGATAGCGCCGGCCTCTCCCAGGAGCGCCTCACTCCTGACGCGGTCTCCTCTGTCCAGGTTGTTGCCAGCGTCGCCAATTTGCTGAACATTCGCGATACTGAGTCTAGTAGGTCAGTACATATTAGGGTTTTGAATCTTCGTGTTTTACGATGTCGTTTGCCTAATTGGAGTTTGAAAACGTTTCGAGCCAAAACAATGAAATATTCTGGATATTTTTCTGGTTAGACCTAATTAGAAATCAACACTGACTTTTAAGTAATGAATGAAGATAAACTTTTCATTTTGGACGCACTTTTTTTTTCTACGGACAACCAAATGATCCGTGCGATATGCTTTTCCCTTTTTCTCTTCTGAATTGGCCAAATTTGCATCAGTTTTATTGTTGCCATGGGGGATTTGTCCTTGAGGAAGGCGGAGGTGGATGAGAAGAGGGCAAAGGTGCAGAAGGATTCCAAGGCTCTTCTGGAGTACACTCGCAAGGCTATTGCGAGGCTCAATGATCTCAAGAAGTAGGAATTCAATGCATTTATTTTTTTTTTTGTGGGTTTCAGATGGGTCTTTATGTTACTATGCTGTGATTTCTTTCTATTTATTTATACTTGTGATGCAGGACCTTTATAAAGTTTGATAATGAAATTGACGTTCATGAGGCTCAAGCTGAACATTGGCAGAGGAACATGGCTATCATGGATTCAAAAGAAAGACAGTACATACTTCAACTCAATAATTACAAGGTATGCCTTCTGTTTGGATTTAATTTGGCTTGTCAAGTGGCTTCTTTGTGGTTGTTGTTTTTCAGCAGCAGAAGAAGCATGCTCACAGGAAGTATTATTTCCTTGTATTGGCCAAATTTGCATCAGTTTTATTGTTTCCATGGGGGATTTGTCCTTGAGGAAGGCGGAGGTGGATGAGAAGAGGGCAAAGGTGCAGAAGGATTCCAAGGCTCTTCTGGAGTACACTCGCAAGGCTATTGCGAGGCTCAATGATCTCAAGAAGTAGGAATTCAATGCATTTATTTTTTTTTTTTGGGTTTCAGATGGGTCTTTATGTTACTATGCTGTGATTTCTTTCTATTTATTTATACTTGTGATGCAGGACCTTTATAAAGTTTGATAATGAAATTGACGTTCATGAGGCTCAAGCTGAACATTGGCAGAGGAACATGGCTATCATGGATTCAAAAGAAAGACAGTACATACTTCAACTCAATAATTACAAGGTATGCCTTCTGTTTGGATTTAATTTGGCTTGTCAAGTGGCTTCTTTGTGGTTGTTGTTTTTCAGCAGCAGAAGAAGCATGCTCACAGGAAGTATTATTTCCTTGAGTTTTACTCATAATATAGATCTTTAAATTAAATTCGTGACACTTAATAAGTTTTAGCTGTCAATGTTGCACTATAAGATAAATTCAACTTAGACTAGTCAAAGTAGCTGGGTATGAATAGGGCTGTAATTGAGCCAAGTATATCATACCTCGGACTTGGCTTATATAATTATAAGTTGTTCATGTTTGGCTTGAGCTTGTGTCAGCTTTCATATATTGTTCAAGCTTCACTTGTTTAAAATTTTCAATGTTTCAACTTGATTTGTTCTTGATTTGTTTATGACAAGTGAATGAGATTTAAACGAGCTAAAAATTCAAGCGGGTATCTAGATTTCATACAAATAATTCAGCAAAATAATTTTACAGATTTGATCGTAGTTATTAATTTATTGATTATAAACTCTAAACCCTATAATATCTTAAATTTTATTTCTTCTCCTTTTTGCCCTAAATCCCTTGCTTATGAGATGTTTGGTAGAATAATTTATGTAACATTTAAGCATGATTTAACCTAAATTATTCCAAACAACTAAAAATGACAACTTTTAATTCTACAGAAACATAATATCAAGTATATATATATGTCATATATGATTTAAGTTATCATAGAGCTATCAACAAACGAGGTTATATTCTATCTAATTAAATTTTATTTAAAGAATATATCTTATATCATAAAAGCTATCATCGAGTTTAGTATCGAGTATTTAACAAATTACTTGTTGAACAAAAAACGAGTTTGTTCGTGAACGTGAACATAAATTTTGACTATGTTCATGTTTAGTTCATTTAAGCTTCGAGGTTTTAAAAATCGTTCAAGGTTGTTTATTTATTAATTTTAATGAACATGATTGAGTCTTAATTAAGTCGAGTCCGAGTTATTCATCAAGTGCATCGGTTCGGTTACAACCCGAGGTATGAACCGTTTAGATATCAACAACTTTTAAGATACTTTTCCGCTTTATTTTCTCACTATTCATGGGATCGAAATTTGAGCACTTATTGACTACTGATTGCAATGTGTAGTTTGAGCTTGAATCTAAATAATTGTTAATATGCATTCTTTCTAAAGGGAGTGGGCCATGTGTAGATTAAAGGCATGGTGTGCAATTCTCATGCCTTTCTTTCCATGAAATTTTCAAACCCATCAACTTTATTATAAATAGAGTTTTCATGTAAAGATATACTGTCATGTATATTGAGTTTGTTTTAGTTGTTTAGATGTATCTACGTAGCATTATGTTCAATAAGATGCATTTTGTTAGGTGATGCTCTAGTGTCTATATGTCTTTCATTTAGTTATATTGCCTTTATATAAAGAGAGCAAATGAGTGGATCTTAGAAGGAGATGTGCAAATTTCTACTCGTCAGAATTAGTGAATGCATAAATGATCAGCAAATGCATAAATGCTTTGAGCATTTAGAGCGCAGTTTAATTATTGTGTACATTATTGTATATTTTTCTTTCAATTTACTGATTAAACATACTTGTGATGATATGGCCTATGAGAATGAAATGCACTCTCTATATTTATGATATCTTGTTTGGTTCAAGTAATTGATTCATCGGTGCTAAAACTGGCTTATTTGTTAGATTTGGATTTTCTATTTTGGAGTTATTGAATGCTTATCCTGTTACAGAGTTTGGTATGAGTTTTTGTAAACATTATAATAGTAATTGGTACAAAATTTTATAGCCTCCAATCCACATGATTTTGCATGGAGATGAAATTTTCTATAAGAGTTTTAATAATATGATTTTGCAAATTGAATGAGTCGTGCATTTGCATTTAACTTCAGAACCAACATGCTTCTTACTTTTTTACAACATGAAATTTTCACCCAAAATGATATAATAGCTTGAAGTAGATTTTCGATCCACAATATATCCATCATAGTACACATTTAAAAAAGCTTCAATCGAAAGTGACCATGTTAATGCTAAACCATATATTATCCTACATAATTTTAGATATATTATAAAATTCTTGGGATAACATCCCAATATAGTTTTCTTAAAGCTTTTCATATGTTTTAATAGCCACACTAACAATAAAAGATATATCTGATCGAGTGGCATTTAGATATATTAATTTTCGAACCATGCATAAATAGGTAGAAGCATCTTTACAGCTTTTACCATCTTCAGATAATTTCAAGGAATTCATGGGATATTTAGTACCAAAAATGCCAAGGTTATCAAGAAAATTTATAGTTTATTTTTATTAAAAGAGAAAAATGCATTTCTTAGTATATGCAAACTCAATTCAAGAAAGTGTTTTGGATGCTTCAGATAATTAGTGACAATATCTTCTATAGATACATTTTTATTTTAGTAATGTTTGAATTATCATTCTTGGTAGAATGCCATTGATATATATAGCAAGAGTCAACATGCAAGGGAAAGATTTTCAATGAAGATAGTGATAAAAAATAGTTTTTTGTAGTCCAATATTTTTGGGAACCTTATATAGTTTGTCAAACTAAACTTATGTACTTTTTTTTTAATCCATATTGCTTTTCAATTTTTGTTCCCCCGCCACCCTGAACAACTTATTCTTGTGGAATATCAAGCTAATTTTATAGGCCTCATTACAAAATCAAAATTAAGAGTGCTCAATATGGAATCAAGAGCTAAGAGCATATTATCAAACAAGAATCAAAAGAGACTTTTTATATGAAACTCAAAACATTGTAATAAAAATTAAAGCTTCAATATTTTAGTTTATTTATAGAATTTTAAAATTTTAATGTTTAATTTATTATTTTCTTATGGAAGCTTCAAAAGTAATTCCTATGTGCTTTAAGTAGCCTTTGTTTTGGTTAGGATGTTATTTAAGCAGCTACTACATGTGTTCCCCTATACCTTAGACTCCTATCACAACCAATAAAAGCTTCGGATCAACCCTTCCAAGGCTAGAGAACCAAAGATTGAATTTTGGCAGTTTAAGTCAAAGGAATGTTTCTATCATTTGGAGCTTCAATTATTAGTGCTTGTACTTGGTAGCTTTATCTTCTACAATTGGTTGTCTCTGACTTTGGACTTGGTTAAATTTTTTTTTAATGATTTAATAAAATTAAGGAGAAAATTAGAGTATTATATGTTTTGTGTTTTCCTTATAATGTTATGTAATTCAACTGTTTGTCTCCATCACAAAGCTTAACTTACTACCTTAATCCTTTGTGAAGGAGTTTTCTACATGCAATTCAACAACGTACCTAGAGTGCAAGCCCATATATAAATGCTAATTGTTGTACCTTCTTTGTAGTAACTTATGGTTTACTCATAAGCCACACTTTATAAAAGTTTAAGCTATATGTTTATCCAAAATTCAGTGCAAAAGGTTTAAAATTATAAATACATGCATGATAAATCCTCTTGCATGAATAGATTATTGCTTTTTTATAATTTTTTTTTGTTGACCCCTCAGAAGGTGTAAAAACTTATGATATATCGTCTAAGACGTACTTTGTAAGAATTTTATAATATATGTTTTCCCAAAAAATTGTACACAAGATTTAAAATTATGAATGCATGCACGATGCATCTTTTTGCATAAAGAGAGTATTTCTTATATTAAAAAAAAAAAAAATTTGGTTGACCCCTTAAAAGGTCCCCATAAAAGGCGTAAAACATTTTATAGTATCTTGTGAACCTTATCATTGAACAACATGTCATTTATGTTAATCATAATAGATCAGGTTGAGGGTTTAATTAAGATGTTATAAGTGATGGATATTAGGTTACATGAGAGTGATTTGAGAGGCCAAGAATGTATGGAGGATACTTAGACCCAATTTATTAGAGTAGGAATTAGATTCATATTTTTTGAGGACCCAATGGTTATCTTGATGGAATAGATGCAAAGCTTAGCCTTAGAAATCCCATTTCAACTCTTAGACTTATATAACATAGCCATCTTAATTTATTGGATTATGAGCCTTACGTAAAGCTCAAAGAAATCAGAGTTTTAGGAGGCTACATTTTCAAAGGAATGAGGACCAAGAAGATTATTATAATATGTATGTTGAAAACATTAATCATTTTTTAGGAAAATTAAAGTCGGGCCGGGGAACCTTTCTATGACGGTTTATATAATCCTAATAAATTATTTGGTTGAGTTGTGCAAGTGGATGGGTTCTTTGAGTGATGTCGGTGGATGATTACTTCAATTTTTGCTAAGATGAAGCTTGCTGGGCATACAAATACCTATTGGATTAATAGCGTTGCAATGTTTCAGAGGGTCAACCTCACTTAGATAAAGATGAAGTAAATTTTTTAAGAGTCCAGTGTGTCTCAAGACACCATGATAAGAAACCTCATAGGCGATTGCTAATTCAAAGGAAAGACACCTTTAAGTTATTAAGTATCAAAGCACTTTTGATAACTTAATTTTTAAAATTGATTGTTAAGATGATAATTGACAATTGAGCAATAGATTTGCTATTGGTTTTATAATGAATATTAAAAACGAGGTGGAAATGTTTGACCCCTATACATTAGGGATGTTTTCTATTGTGCCTTCATGACATAAAAATAGAAGAAGGCAACCTCCTATCCTAGATTTAAAAGCCAGGCCACTCCAACTCCTACCCAAAGGTTTGCTGTTACGCCTAACCCATCACTAATGGCACATAAACTATTATAACTCATATGAAAAAGTTCATGGTTAAAAAAATAGGGAAACAATGTAAAATTGACTAATGCTGATTCAATTGAACTAACTTTTGTTTGTTCCATTTTCATAAAGGGAGGCAGAGAGAGAGAGGGGGCGAATTATGCGACATACAGAGAGCAAGAGGTTATAGAGAAGGTGAGCTAAGGGAGAAACCAAGAGACAAGGTGAGATGAGAAAAGAAGAGGTGGAATGCATCTTGTACGATATTTTGATTGGGAGTCATGAAGTGCTCGAGTGCATGTGGCCGAGCATAAGGAAGGTGAACGGGCATTGTGGTAGCTAGCAGGCTTGATCGAAGAGCGAGGACGAGCTAGCAAAGTCATAAATGATGCCTAGCAGTGTGAGAGGATATTGAGCAAGGAAGGAATGTTGACTATGAGATTTGGGATCGTTTGAAATCGTTTTTGCTTCTTCTTTGTATGTTAAATTTTCATCTAAATTTAATATGTATTATATTTTCTTTTTTATTTGTTCATGGAAATATTGGATTTAAAAAATTAGATATAGCGATATTCAATGATAAATTTTAGGTTAGGATTTATTTGTTTTAAAGGAAATATTATTTAAGATGTTATACAAGTCATTATAGTTACTATATTTTAATTGGCATATTCAATCAAAATTAATTTTAAAAGTTTTTGTGATACAATGGATACAATTTAAATTGTATTTTTAATGAAATTTTATTGAAATTTGGTCAAGTTAAAGAGAGTATGATTGATTTTAATAGTTATGAGCTTGTTAGATAAATAAGTATTAAAGATTTGAAGGTAAAAGTCTATTAGACAATTATTTTAGTTTGGATAAAATGAAATAAAAAATAAAAATTGATGAGAAAATATTAAATTTAACGCATGCAAAGTTTAATATATTATTCTATAAAATTTATTTTGAAATATTTTCATTGTAATTATCGTTAGTTTATATATTTAACTAAAATTAAAAAGAAAAAAAGTGAAGTATTTGTAAATAAAATAAAGTTTATTAACTAATATTTTATATGATTATAGCTATATTAAAGGAAGTTTAGTTGGAACATAAATCGAATAGAAATCATCCGAGGTTTACTTGTGCACTCATATTTTTTTATTTATGATACTATTATTATTTCTTCTAAATCAAATGCATCAACTACTATTTATATTCATTTAGTCTACCATTATTGAAAATTCATTTATGATTAACTCTTTTTTGAAGTTTGATCATACTGAATTGTGTGATATTGTTGTTCTCTCATCATATTTCAAATTACTTATCGTATATCATACAAAATAATTATAGAAATATACGAAATGATATTTTGAATGCAAATGAAATGCTATATTTAAAATGTTTGTATATGCATTTTAGCAGATGGAGTTTACCACTTCATAATATGGAAAAGAATATTGATATTAAAATATCTTAAATGATATACTTTAGGTGGCTCTTCCATGATAGATATAATATATAAAATAATATTAATAAGATATGATATTGTTTTTACAATGTAATAGAATATTTTGAAATCCTTTGCAATATCATCCTTGTATAAAAAAAATATAAAATAATTTTATGCTAATTCATTGGATTTAATAAGAATGCATGTAACTTTCTGATTACTTTACGTTGTTGTAATCTATAAAATATGAATTTTTCTTTATGTTGTTGATAACTCACAATAATTTAAACTTGGGGCAATTACATACAGAGCACTCGAAACATTGCTGTTTACAAACCAAGCACTCTCTTTCATCCATTTTTCAAATTCTCACTCAAATATAAAAAGCCATTCTAAAATCCAACCCTTTTTTTCATTTTTATCAAATTCTCAATGGTTTGATTGTGGCATGCGTAAATGCGTTGGTTTGGCAGTTCGAAAAATCACCGGAGTGCTTGATTTGTAAATATCAATGTTTTGGGTGCTATGTATGTAATTATGCCTTTAAACCTATATTTTCATGCTAAAATCTTGAGAAAGAAATGAGTGGAAAAGAGAATTGGTTTATCGAAGATGTAGCAAAATGACAGAACGATATTTACATTAATAATTTTTTTACATTTAAATTTGTACATAGAACATAAATGTTGATATCTATATTTTAAACAATTTGCACGTGAAAATATAATTATTATACAAGTATATCTTTTAAACCTTATAAAATTTACATATTTATAGTAAAATTATTAAGGATACATTTAGGCACTTGATTCTTCCATTAAATTTGTATACAAGTATATCTTTTAAACCTTATAAAATTTACATATTTATAGTAAAATTATTAAGGATACATTTAGGCACTTGATTCTTCCATTAAATTTGTCAACTAGAATCAAATCATAATTTGTGAGCACCAACCCAAATTGATCAGTTCTATTCAGGTGAAATTGTATTTTTGGCTCATTTTTTTTTCCATGCTTCTCGTGGCCATACAATCCCTAATATTTAAAGCGCAGATGGCTTTTTAAGTACCTAGAAGTGTCGCTTCTGTAATGCCTTGTTAATTTTATAATTGTAGTACATGGAATGAAATTGCGATCTCTAAAGTAATAGATTAGATACATTAGTCATATATTAATTCAAGTAGAGGTCCCCACTCTTCTGCCTCATATTCATTTAGAATCAATGACTTGCCCACCTTTTTACCTTAGTAAGGGAGCGGTTTAATTGGTATTAGCTTGCTGGACTTTAGTATTTAACTCGCTTTGTCAATTTGAGCTTGCTTCATGGGGTTTGTCATCATCCCAATTCCCATCCTTTATGCTTGTTAGACGCTGCATGTTTACTTAACTAATATGATCCTATGAAGGAACATAGCCTGTTGTCTCTAAAGCATAGAAGATAACATAAAATATGCTGACTTGCCTCATGACTTACATGTGATAATGTGTGTGCCATTGACTATAAGTTTGATTGCTTTCTTGGGATTATCTATGCTCTAGTTTTGAATTCTAGAACCTTTTATTCATTTCAGTATGGCATTAATAATACAAAACTGAGATCTGTAATCTAAGTTGTAGATGCTCTCATGTAACTTATTGCAACTTGACATTCATAAATACAATTGTCTTTTTAATAATTTGAGAAAGTTGTGAGACTTAATTCCAATTATGTGCATACCTATGGTAGCAATGAACAAACCTTTCTTTTTTCCTTTTCGTTCATTTCTCATTTCGAACTTGTCCTTAAAAAAATGTGCTCTTTGCAGGCTTTGTTAAGTCGTGTGGGTTACACTTCAGAAATCAATCATGGCGTGCTTATGGAAATGGCTGAGCATAAGAAGGACTTGGAGAAGATGACCAAGCCGATTTTGGATACATTAAGGAGCTATCAAGACTTACCTCCTGTATGTTTAATTGTTTTTATTATATATATTTTTTAAACTTACCTCCTGCCTTTTTCTTTCTCTTGATTGACTGATTTTATGTGCAAGAAACTGACAGTAATACTTTTCCTATTTGCATTCAGGATAAAGCTCTTGCTGCTTTGGCTATTGAAGATAAGAAAAGGCAATATGCAGCTGCTGAAAAGTATCTTGAAGAAGTCCTACATTCTGCTCTAACTGTTCCAGAACTCTGAAGTTGTTTTTTTTTGACACTACGGGGAAGATTGTGTGGAGGTTTGGAATATTTTCAAACTTTGCATGCTTGAAGCATTTATGGCTTTAGTTTGTTCGAGATTTGGTTTGATGTTCTTGAGATTTGGGAAACAGTGAATTTTAAAACTTGCATGCCCGGCTATGTTGTAGTAGCGCATCCTAATTAATTTTCCCATATAATCCATGTTTTCGTGTCTAATGACCTGAAAGTGCTCATTGCATTGCCTCCGGAGATTTTATTTTCGCCAAATTTTTCTCTTTACGTCTGATTTTTGTTAATTTGCACAATGGCACTGAATTAAATGATGATTTATGGATAAATATCTACTCGATGAAAGAGCAATCATTTTAGCTCAATGAGTTTGTCCATAAACTTATGCTTATATTAACTTTGTTGATTGGAGCTCAAGCACCAGCTAAAAATGACATACAAAGAAATTTTTTTATCGATAGCAGGTAGCACCTATTTTTTTTCCCTTGTAATTGGGATAATAATTTTTTTGTCTCGAAACTTGTTTGAATAAAATTGTAGTTTTTTATTATATGTAAATGACCTAAACCTACCTTTGGATCTCAATTTTATGAGTTAGGAGCTCTGCCTCATTATGGTTTCTTTTCACTCACATACCCATATAACTTTTGTTTCTCATATAAAAACACTAGAACTCATTTTCTAAGATTCTCTTTACCCTTATAAATGAAACTATGCCCTAAAACTTCCTTCAAGTTGTTGGCATCACTTTTGTTGCAGCAGACATTTCAGTACACACCTTGATGTCCTTAATCATCCTGAGACTGAGCTCGTCACAATGATCATATTGTTGGCGGTTTAAGACTCACCTTACTTAAAGGGATTATATCAAGGAATTTTATTTACAACGTCAAAGAGCTTTGTCAAGACCCTTAAGCGAATTGTGAAAGGGCAACACTGTCATTTCCATCTCCCTCCGCAGATCGTTCCGTGGAACTGAGGTGAGCGGCTCCGTTCATGAAATTAGCTTTTGGGAACGGGATTTTGGTATATGCGGGGAGAAAGTGAGATCCCCAAACACACCCTAATGTTTTTCCAAAACTGAAAGCAGCTAAAAAGCCACCCAAACATACTTTTCATCTCTTATATACTTAAGCTTATCCTCAATGTGAGCGATCCTTAAATGCAAGTTTGGTAAAAATGGATTTCATATCATTTGTTTATTGTTATAGATTTGATAAACTTCTACGAAACTGCTTTGCAAACCATTGTATGGCACCACAAAAAATCTGTTATTACCAAATCAATATTGAGTCACACTCAAGTCACATGAGTTCAACATTTCCTTCTTACATAATATTGAACATTTCTGGTTTAATAGACTTTAAATTGGCATGAATCATAATGTTCATGGTAAATCAGACGTTATACTGAAGGTAAATTTTTGTTTAGCATATTTGACATGAGCAATAATACTCATGCTAAGTCACCCGTTAACAACTTTCCATCATTCTTAGTTACATGATAATCATTTTTATTAATCTAATAAATTTTAGGACTTCACTATCGCTCTCTTAAATAGAGTGTTTTGCAACTAGGAGATTTAATGTGAACTTAAATTTTTTATTTTGTTGTAGATACTCATTTTATGTTTTCTGATTTTCATATCTTATTAAGACTGTTGTAATCAATGTCATTGAATTTCTCAGCAGTTTATTTGTTATCTATATATTGTTTTTATATCAATAAGTATGAGAAATTAGAGTCCTTGAAAAATGATTTATGCTATGATTGCAATTATTATTTGGATATAGAAGACTTTTTTAGCTGGGATAAATGTCATGATGATGATGATAATGATGCACAGATTCTTCTTTTCTACATCAATTTCAAAATTTGATCCTTTTTTTTCAGGTGTGAGGCCTAAAATTCTTTTTAGAGAATTTTCATGTCCAACCTGAGGCTTTTGTTTGTACGATTGTTATTTTTTAAGATTGTAATTTTTTTTCTCTATTAGTTATCATTTTTTCTTGTTCTTTCTAGGTCTACTCGCATCACTTATTAGTAATTTGCTTTTCCTATTTAAAATCAGGTTCTATCTTGTAGTAAATCTTCTCTTACTTTGTTAATATCAGTTTACCTTACTTAAATATTGAAATGGTAGGTCCAAGGAAATGCTATAGCAGCAATAAAGCAAAACATTTATAGAAATTACATTTGTCAAACTATTAGCGAATCCGTTCTTGATCTTTGTACATTGCAATACATTTATTTTTATCATAAAAGATGCATATGAATTATTTTCGTACAACTAATGTGCCCTCTAGGCCTTTAGGAAACCACTGGAATGAAAATACGCTTGCGACGCAAAATCTAAGCTACTGAGCATTCTGGTGGAAAACCTTGTGGGAACCGCTTCGCGTCAGTGCAATAGTTATAAATCATGTAATTCTTTTGCACCCACCTTATTCGTTCTTCGCTCGTTGAATCAAGGTCCTGTCCCCACCATGCCTTATTTGCCACACCCGAAGCACAACTAGACGTACCGGACGACCATATACATGCGTCAGCGACGAAGTTCTGATATGAGGCGACAAATGGTGCCTGACTCCAGTCGGTTTTGATGAGCCCTCCTCTCGTTGCCCAATCTTCGGCATCCCACAGGCTCGAATAGATCCTCATCGGCTGGTTCTTCGGAAATGCAATACCGCTTGATTCAAGGTTCTTGAAAACTCTTATTGGTGTTCCATCAACTGTGTATCTAGGATTGTCAAACAATAATACATGCATGATGAGCATTCAGATTTTGGTATACTTAATCTTGGGAAATTGACATTCGTAGCATACAATTCTAATGTATTTAAATTTGTCACACTTAAACTTTCATATTTGCATGCATAACAATTCGGTGTTTTATACCTATAAATTAAAAGGTGTATTTCAGGAATGTCATTATTTTTTGTGTGATATTGAAGATTTGAGTGCTGTGTATAAATATGAAAGTCTGGTGTGAGATATTAAATACATAAGAGTTGTGTGCTATGCTTTTTCCTCGTAAGTACGCACACACAAACGCACATGATTCACTTACAAAATCTGTCTGGGGTTCCATAGAATGGTATATGTGTGGAAATTGATAGTCGGATCAAACCATAATCGAAACTGTTGCTCCCGACTCCCCTTCCCTTGTGTAAAAATATTTGTGTGGAGTGTGTAGGGTTGTCCGCTTAGATTTCCTAGGAACTCGAAGTCTATCTCATCATGAGTCGGTCCCTGTGACGAAAACTACAAATTCAACAAAAAATATTAGTATTTTATTGTGATCCCAATATAATATTTTAGGAAAATTTACGCACATACCATTCAACTCTTATGTATCTAACACCTAAACTTAATTTTTACACGTCACCCTATCTACACATGAAAATGTGCATTCCACTTTTTAAAGTTGAAATAGTGATATTTTGATGTGATATGAAAGATTTGCATGATATAAATGAATAAAAATAAAGTTTAGGTGTCATATATGTAATTTATGTAGGAGTTGTGTGATATTTACATAGCAGACAATTTCAATTTATTTACATGTCTCACACCAAAACTTTCATATTTACACACATCATTCAAATCTTTAATATCACATACAAATAAACTCTATTACGGTTTTTTTAAAGTGAGATATACCTTCTCATGCATAGGTTTAAAACACCAAAGTGTTATGTATGTAAATATGAAATTTTAGGTATGAGATATGTAATTACATAAAAATTGGGTGCTATTTTTTTTTTTTATTAAATCTTTATAGCACAAGTAATGAGCTTCACGTACATAATAAGCAGTGACTGTGCCAGCAGAGTTTCCGGGCACCAATTTGAGCTGCATATCAATCTTGCCAAATAGATACTCATTCTTGGATTGGAAGCCAGAACCTGAAGCTCTGTCTAGAGAAAGCTTCAGAACTTCTCCATTGTTCAGTATCTGCGCACGGCTACCTCCCCAGGTGATGTCAAACTCCTGATTGAAATTTCCAGCCGAACAAATATCCATCAAACCACATGAAACTATAATAAATACTGCTACACTAAAACTCATGTATGGAGCCATATGATATAGAAGAGTGGTAGTATGTTTTAATGATAATATGATATGAATTTTTTGGGTTGGTTTAGTGCGCTTGGGTTTAGGACCCTTTTAAAGCTGGAGAAGAGCAATGATTGAAGGTGGTCTCAGATTTTTAAGAGGAGGGATATTAGTTGTTTTCCTCTGAGTTGGCAACAGTTGGATTGGAGAGATGATTGATGTCTTCCAGTGTTGAGTTTTTCCGTATGAGGTCTATAGGAGAAGATAGAAAGCTACTTCCTTTTGGCCCACCTTGGCTCGCCCATAATTGATGATTGCATGAATCCACATTTTTTGTTTATATTCTTTGGTTAATAGGACTCTCTTATCCTCTTTGTAGACGCGGTATAGACGTATTTTCACAAATTTACATGCATACCAAAGTTTGATATTATATTTGTACCATGTCTGGTCACAAATCTATGTTTGGAATTTGTATTTCATTTTTAAAAAGAAGATGATACTGATGATATTTTCGATGTAACGTTAAAGATTCGGGTAGCGCACGTATAAATTTTTGAGTTTTTGATAGGAAAATACATCAGATTTGTGTAGTGTATGTAAATGTCCTTAATATTTTTTTATACATTTTATATAATTTTATTATTTAATAAAAAAAATTAAGTGAAGGGTACATCCTCTTAGTTACCGGCTGGGTATTGTTGACCAAATCTATGTGAATCACGTGCGTTCTTGGGGGGAAGGATAAGGTGGAATATTTGATGATTCTTGTTTGGTGAGAATTGATATTTTTTGAGGAGTTAGAAATTATAAATAGCTGGTGGGACACACTGGCAGAAGGCATTAGTTGATTAGTTATATGTAAAATCCGAGTTTGTGGCTGTAGGGTATTAGAGCTGCTCTCTTTTTCTTCTTTCCAGCCGAAATGGAACGGACGGACCCCACCGTCCTCATACACGCACGTGTGAGCGTAACTGCGATAGAGAAGGATTCCTGTAAAAGTGAACCTTTATTTATTTATTTTTTGACGATGCAGTTTTGAAGATCAGACGTAGAGTTATATCCGGACTTCAATTAAAATTTGCGTCTGTTCTTCTCTAAAAGGCGAAGAAACATGAAGTCTGATCCGGTAATGTGGTATAACATAGTTGTGCTATAGGTTTTTTCACATTACAATCGTGTTGTACACACGATATGATAATCATGTTGTACTACATGAGCGGGCTAGATTTCATGCTTTTTCATTTTTTAGACAAGGATACACGTGAAATTTTAATTGGAGTTTGAGCTAACTTTACGTCGGGAAATATTTTCTCCAATTTTACAGTGAAAAACTACGTGTTGAATGATTTTTTGTTTCATAATTTTTTATGACTTTGTTGGGTTTAGAGCAAATGTGATCTTTTTGTTACATTAAACACATGTTTCTCATGTTTAGTTTTTGAGGCATTTACATACGTGCCACCTAATTCTTATTTATTTACATGCCTAATTTCTAAATTTTATTTTTTTACATTTCTACCATGGAATCTTTAATATCACATAAAAAATGCACTATTTTAATTTTTAAAAAGTGAATATTTTTATTTTTCATGCATAAATAAGGTGGCCTGTATATGTAAATATTGAAGTTTAGGTGCTAGAAATGTAAATTGCTAGGAATTGAGTGGTTTTTATGTAAAGCATATTATTATTTTTTATATAAAAGGAATTTAGCATCGATTTAGCCACAAAATTAATATAGGAGGAATTTAAAATTATGACTTGTAATAACTTTTGATGTCTTTATTGTTTATCGACTAATTAGTTGACACTCATATGATATAATTATATTTTTCTGATAAAAAATTGAGTTTTTAAGTCTTTCATAGTTCATAACGCTTGCTTAATAATCGTTAATGATTTAATCAATTTTTTGATTAAATCATTCTCTTTTAATTGTTTTTCTTGTATTTTTGCAGTTTAAAAAAATATCTTCTGATGTAATTTTTTTAATGGGTGAATTGTTACATTAGAAACATGAAAAATGCTTTGTTTATGTCTAGTTGCAAGATCTCGATAAATAAGAATGTCGAGAGCTTCTACTATAATTATTATAGGAATGATTTGAGTGATAAATATTACAAAAGTTACATGTTTCAAATAAAAACTAATATATGCTGATGCATGCTAGAAAACTAGCGGCGGTAGAGTAACGGACTATCGTCTTAGCGTTGTACGAATGTTCAGCATACGCACAGATGAAAGAGAAACAAGCGGTGATGATTCCAGAAGTTTTTACGTGGAAAACTCGTAAGGAAAAAATCACGGGGCCTGACCTAGTTGCGGAAATCTACTATTGATTGATGATTACAGAAATCTCTTGTCGCACAGACGGGAAATGATAAATATATTTTTCAGATTACATCGTTGACTGATGACGTCTGGTTGATGGTGATTGATGATGGTTAGCGGTGGTTGCTGACGGTCGGTGGAGGTCGACGACGGTCGGCGGTGGTTGACGACGGTCGGTCGTTGTCGACGGAGGTCGACGAAGACCGACGATGATGCTGAGCTGCAGCTTCTCTTCAAGACCTCAAGCTCTCTCTCTAGACTTCAGCCCCCTTTCATGAGAGGGATGAAGCTCTATTTATAGCGTTCTGAGTGCAATTAATGTAAGAATATGAACCATTTTGATCGGACGGTCCGAAGAGCTTCCCTTAATCAGATGACGTTTCATGGGTATTTGAGTGCCTTAATGATGTTGGAATTGAGCAATCTTGGGCTCGTTGGATTCATCTTGTCGAGACGGTCGATTCGAATATGAACTCGTTATATTTTACATCTGTTTGACCTTTCAAATGCCTCCATAAATCCTCCTAGAGTTGTTTAATGATTTGATCCGAGCTTGATCTGACTCGGATTGGACTAGTTCTTATATCATTGGGTCCTCTCATCGAGCCGATCAGTTTGACTATAAGTTCACTGAAATCGGAACTCTAGATGACTCTTAATTGAAGTTTAAATGTTTTTTTTGCTCAAGATATTATCTCGAGATCTGTGATATGCTTTAAGATTCGTGTCAGGTGATAAAAATTTATTGGTGGTGTAAGCGGAGCCGCTCGCCAAGATCACTGAAGCAAATGCAAAACAATTTGTCTGAAAAAACATCATCTGTCGTTTTGGGCTCACCGCAAAGATTATCACTGATAATGAGACTCAATTCATTAGAAGGGTCTTCACATCATTCTGCAAGGATCTTCACATTCAGTTGGTGCACACTGTCGTGACACATCCCCAAAAAAAATGAGCAGATAGAGGTGCCAAATTGGCTGGTGCTCAAGGGGTTGAAGGCTCGTCTTGAGAAGGCTGGGGGGCAGTGGGTAGAAGAGCCACACAACGTCCTTTGGGCCTTTGGGCCTAGCGTACAACCACACGTACTCCAACCGGGGAAACTCCATATAACTTGTATTTCGACACTTAGGCTGTTATCCCAGTTGATATCGGAGTTCCAAACCCGTGAGTTAAGACTTTCGACTCAGATAGCAATAAGGAAAAGCTTCGACAACATTTGGATCTCCTCCCATAAACACACAATGTGGCCAATCTTAGAACTGCTTCCTACTGCCAAAGAGTTGCTCACCACTTCAATCAGAGGGTCAAGTCTCGACCTATCTCCGTCGATGACCTGATCTTGCGTAGTATTGAAGCCACCGATCATGGTCCCCAATGCAACAAACTATCACCTCTCTGGGAAGACCCATATATTGTGGCTGCCATGATCAAACCTAAAACCTTTAAGCTCAAGGGTTCAGATGGGAAAGTTTTGTCTCGGACTTGGAATGCAGAAAATCTTCGCAAGTACTATCAGTAACACCCCAGTCGTGCAGTCCATATTTATTATTACATCGCAACTCATGCATAATCAATGTATCTTAAATATTATTCACTTACTTTCCTATACATAAATGATATCTTTAGAATGTGTAATGACTCATCCATAAGTGACTTCATGCTCTCGACCTGAGAAATACACAACTTCGGTTGTATCTTAGTCAGTGCATGATCAATCATAGGAGGATTTGATATAACCTCTTCCATATGGGTTAACATTGTTGAGTTTTTACTCCGATAAACAATCCTGGATATGTTAACAGTCCTTGGTGGGCTACACCTGACCCTTTCCACAGAGTTTTGTAAGTGAGCAATGCTCCAACAAACAACCTGGGATGAGTTAATAAGTCCTCGGTGGACTTCAATTGGCTCCTCTTATGCAGGTTGACATCATCCAGTAACACTCTGATGCATAGCCTCAGAAAAGTTAAAAATGGCTGGTGATTTATCCCTATGATAACTTTGTTACATACTAGAATTTCTAAATGACATTGGATATCCACTGTGACATTTTAAAAAATAAATAAATAAAAAAAATCCCACGAATCCTTCTTCTATGAATCATTTTTACCACTCCTCAACATCAAGTACACAATCCGCAATGCTTCAGCGCTACCCGTTGCCTCACCGCAATGCATCGCCGCGACGCACTGCCACAACACATCACGTCGCCCCGACGCCTTGCCGCGACACCCTGCCGCAACTTGTTGCCGCGGCACACCGCCACAACACAATTATGGGGCGGAGCGTCGCAGCGATGTAAGATAAACCAATTATATTCATATTTTACATGGCATTTGAAAGCTTCTTTGATCAAATATCTAAATTTTTAAAACTTCGATAAAAAAACATGTAATATAATCATTTACAACGATCAAATAACACAGAATAGTAATGGAGGTTATTTCCAATAGTTTTTTTTTTTAATCAAATTTTATTCTTATGAGGTCATGGGACCTAATGGACCTAGAAATGTAGGGCTACTTCCTCAGGCCCACCTGCCGCCCGCCCATAATTGATGCGTGCATGAATCTATAGGATCATTATTTGATAAAAAAAAACGAGCCTTACCGCATCAGTTGTTCTTATCGAATGATGAAGAGCTGTCTTTATTGCTGCAGTCTCATATAAAGTATATAACAAGATTCATTGCTGAGCTGCAAAAATGGAGAAAGGAATTATCATTTCCGACACAAGTTTACCATGCATGTTTCATGTGCTTTGTACATGGCGAGG